GGGGGCAACAAAATGAGAGGAGCTGGATAGAGGAGCCGGACCTGGCAGGGGAGGTATACGGAGCTGAGGTGGCTGCAAGAGCTCGTACGAGACAGGGGCAGCAGCTTTGCAAAAGAAAAGTGATCTAGGATATTCTGATTATCTGGGATATCCAGCCTATTTCTTAATTTTTCCCACTCTGCTTCCAGTTTGGGTAAATACAGTAACTTCCAAGTTGCCCCACTGTAAAGGCTGGTGGAACGTGTTGTTCCTTTATAAAAAGCTGGTTATAGGAAACATATGGTAATAAAAATACAGGTGGAGAAAGGGAGGAGACACATTTAAACAGGATGAAAGTTGGTTCGGTAGATCCACACCCATGGACAATTTCAGTTGGTTTGAAAGTCTCTTGACTTTGACTCATTTCCTAAGCAAGAGGATGAAAGGAAGAAAAGCATGAAATGGAGATAATATTTAAGGACACAATTTGGTCTTCTAGTCCCAAACAGCTATTTGAGGATGGGGTGAATCGCCCTTCATTGGTTACAGAGGAAGAAGAGTCTTGTTTTGCTGCGATGCCCAGCTTTGACACAGCTCAAGTAAGAGGAGATGCATCCCACCCAACATCCCCAAAACACTACAGACCAACAGGACGCGAGGGCACTTCGGCCTTCCCCGAATCGCAGCCGAAGGACTTAACGGGCAGAAAGGAGGCCACTTTGCGATGCTGTCGTCCCTGTGGCTCCGCAGGTGGCTGACATGTTGGGGCTTCCCGAGATGGTCGGCTGGACGATGGGTTGCCGAGGGGCTGCTCCAAATGCGGAAACGCTCGCCCTTCGGAGAGGGGACAGCCCCGTGTCCCACGTCCAGCACCGAGGCTCCATGGGATACTCGTTTTCCTCTCTTTGGTGGTATTGCTGGCAGAACAACCCCTTGCTCTCTGGCGCTGGTCAGAAACCAGATGAGAGGGGATACGATGAGGATGAGGAAGGCTTTGGGGGGATCAGAGAGAAAATCCTGCTCTGCTTCTTCGCTGGCATTTTGATTATCTGTCCTGTCTGCCGTGTCACGTAAGATGTTATTTAATTCTGTGTTTTCTGCTGACACCTGCTGGCCCTTAGCAGAAGGTTGTTGTGGGCCTGATACAAAACTTTCCTGCCTAAAAGGCTTTCACAACCTCACAAGTTATGATTTATACCGATCTCATGGGATGATGTCACTGTCAGAACCGGTCTTTATCTCCAGGCATAGGATTGTATCTCTCCCAGTACCCTTCCCACCCCCTTCTTGTTATTACCAGTTACAATTCATCCGTGTGCTCGGTATCCTAAAATGCAAAGCTAAAACATGATCCACTGGAGTGTGCGGTGTGTTATAAACACGCGTGACTCAGGTGCGTGAAATTTGGGGACAGCCCTAGAAAGCTGAAGGTCTTGATTTCCTAATTTAAGGAAATTTGAGTTGGAAATAAGTAGCTCCACTGCAGTCAGTGTTACTACACTGGCATACAGCTGCAGATTTTCCAGAGAGATCGAAATGAGGGTTCTGCTCGCAGAATGCCAGTCACATCTACAAATGGTGAGCCACATACTGAAATCCCTACTCATTCCTTATCCAGGGCATTCCCAAGGTGCCTTGCGGATTAGGAATGTGGAAATAATCCATTACTTACAGAAATAATAGTTCTCTCACCAGTAATCCAAAATGAATAGCGTTACAGCCAATTAACTTGGATCATCCAGGAGATGCGTCGCGGACGGAGCCCTTCGCCATGTTGGCGTTACTCGAGGTGATGAGAAAAGAAACATTTCTGTCCCCAGGTGAAATGCGTGTGGGATTTTCGAGGAATATGGGCTTGTTGAGAACCTCGGCAGTGGCGAAGGTGTGAGGGCTCCCCTCCTGGCTGCGTTGTCCTGGGGCAGGGGCTGGCACTGCTCCTTGTGTTGTAGCTGTGTGAGGGCCAGTCAGCCTCGTGTCCCAGAGCCTCTCTCCCGAGCTCACGCACGGCGTGAAAATTAGCATTATATAAGGAGTTAGTGATAATATGTTGTTCTAAGTAACATCATCTGT